AAAAATTTCAGTATTAATATAAAAAAATAATAATTTTTTATAAAAAATTTTTTTAATATAAAAAAATAATAAAATCTGATTAATTATATTCAATATTATAGTAAATAATCTGCAAAATTTTCAGCATCTTGATATCTTTAGACTTTCTGCATTATAATAATATTTTTGTTCAAATCAGATTAAATATTACATATATTCTAAATTAACTAATTCATTTTTTTAGTAATTATTTTTAATAAAAAATTGAATTAATCACTTTAAAACATAATATCTCAACATTTAGTAATTAAATTTGAATGAAAATATTATCATTTAATTTGTCTAAATTAGACAAATCAAACAATAATATTTTCATTCAAATTTAATTACTAAATATTGAGATATTATATTATAAAGTGATTGATTTATTGCATTTAGACATGAAGTATATGAACATATATAAAAGCTTTACCAATCTATAAAAAGTATTAATAATCAGCATTTGTAATATTTTTTGTGCTCAAAAAAATTTGGTGCATTATATATAATTTACAAAAAATTAGAGGGAAAATCAGATACTTTTGATCACAACTATAAATTTAAAGAGTTTTTTACAAGAAACAATTTTTTAAATATTATTAAAATATATTTTAACTTGTCAAAATTCATTAATTAAATTTGTTAATAAAAATCATCTAGCTTTTCTAAGAATATCTATTATTTTATCAATTTGTAATAAAAAATAAGCTCTTTTTTTGTAATATTATTAACTTTTTGGTAATCAACACAAAGTCATTTTTTTCTATTCTTTTTAGTTATTATAATAATAAGTAAGATCTAAAAATTGGTTAAGAATTAAACTATTTTAGTATTTATCATTTTCTGGATTTCTTCAAATATAATTATTGATTAGATAATATTGCTTAATAAACTTTTTGTTTAATTAATTAATTATTTTTAATATCAATTATAATTAAATATCTCTATAGTTATTACTTTTGAAAAAGCAAAATTTGGTAACTATAAAGGAAATATGACTATAAAGAGATTTTTTTATTATATTCTAATTCACTATTTTGCTTTATATATAATAATTATACAAGAAATGAAATATATAATCAAAACTTTCTAGAATTTTTTATCTTTACCAATATTAGTCCAAACAAAATAAAGAATACTTATTTTGAATCACAAGATATCTAGTATTTTTTAAAAATATTTTGACAACAGATCATTTTAGTTAATTTTGTAAAATTGAATAATTTAAATCAAAATTTTCAATTAATTCTATAAAGGATTCAAATTTGGATCACTAATAAAAAATATTTTACAAAATTTGTCTGTGTACCAATTTTCACAAAACTGGCTCAAAATTTATTGATATTTAAGATCCTGAAGATTTGAATTTTTACTAGGAGCATTAATTCGACTATTTATTTACTAACAGATTGAACCTTCAGGATTTTAAAGTACTACTAAACAAATACTTTTTGAAAGTTTTGGTCTCATGTATATGATCTACAATTTGTCGATCCAAAAGAGAACTTACCCAAGATGTATCTAACTTTCTTGTTCACAATTGTACTGACTGTTTCTCGCAGCGCTCTTTTAATCTGATCACAAAAACTTTCTTGTCGAGAGATCGAATCTGAGGTAAAGCGAGCCAAAAAGTCGTTAGCGTTGTGAAGGTCATAACATGAAAAGTAAAGTCGACTTGCCAAAGCGGCGCGGCCGAAGGCACAGAATTGAATCCTGAATCAAACCTCGAGGTACTCTGTCTTGTCGGTGACAGCATCAATGCATTGCATCGGAAGGCCAATAAACTGGATTTGCCCATATGGGATTTCGGCTGTGAATGACAAGAATTAGAACATAACAATGGTTGGGTGACAACTGGGTCATGATTTAAATCATACTTTTTTCCTTGTTTCATCCTTACCATCATCTTAAAGTCGCGACTATTCGTCCAACGCCAAGAATCAGAACCTTGATCTGCACGCATCCAAAAGGTAAAAAATATTTGCGTCTCAACAACTATCTGTGGCTGTATTCTGTATTAAGAATCAAAATATTGTGCATACTTTTTTTACTATAGTGGCTGCACTTCATCTAAAATTTTTTTATTGAACAATTCGCTTTACAGAATTCTATAATAAGTATTGTTTAGCCTAACTGAACTTATTAGATAATTGCATAACAAAAAACAGGTCGCTAGCCCATTCAATGACTTATGAGCGCTATCATCATTCGGGCCCACTCGTTCTTGAGTCAGCGTGTCCGCTGACCAGAAGTCACCTCTAATTATATCACTGCAGCTCTCACTCCAGGCACCATGAAGATCTGCCCACTCATCTAAAAACCAGATTGTGTGCTCCTCCAAGAAAATGGTAAGAAATTGCAGATCAAGTATGGTCTCACGAAAAACCTGGGAAACAGAGAATATGGTAATTATTTGATAATGACAATGCGTCCAGAGATTCAAAAGATATATTTAGATTACTTTGTATAAAAAACTGCACAGCCCAAATTCTAATAGATTTTAAATAGATCGTAATACTTTATACAATTATGATAAAATAAAATATTGTTTTCAAAAAAAATCTTAATCTTAATATAAATCCCGATTAAATTAAATAATCGATTATTGATAGCGATAAGTGGATATATTATGAGAAAAGAGTAAAAGAAATTTTTGATGATGTTATGTGAAGTAGAAAAAGGACGATGACGTTCTTTGCATAACATGGTTCAAAAGAAAAGATTAAAGGAAAACCTTCCTCCCTCACGCAATCAAAAAAAAGAAACTAATTAAAAGCTTTGATCCTAAATGAGTGCTATACTCGTATTATTTTGTTGTGGTGGTTGACAGTTTTGTGATTTGCTTTTTGAATGCCGAAAAATAACTAATACATGACAATGACTCATCACACAACATATTAACCTAACAATAATAATAGTAAAAAATAAGACTAAATAGGGGTGTAAAATATAAGATAACGTGTGTATATGTGTGATGGCGAAGAAAATAATTATATATTAGTGTTAATAGAAGTAGTATAAATTCTTTTGATTGAATGATTAATTATTAATTAATTCATTAATTAATACATATTATTCATTCAATGTTACATAAAAAAACGCCCAAAATTGCACATTACAGAAATCACAAAGAAACAAAAAACAATATTTCTATAGAACTAAACATTTAGTCTTTTTTCGGGTTACCGGCGGCTCCAAAGCTGCCACAATAGCCTCATCAAAAACATTCTTTAATCCCTTCTGTGTCAAAGCTGAACATTCCACGTATTTCACAGCTCCTAATTCTTTCGCAAGTCTTTCGCCCTGTTCTGAAGTGACCGGTCTCATCTTTGATCTTGAGAGTTTTTCCACGACGGTCGGATCGTCTCTTAAATCTACTTGCGTGCCTACAATCAAACAGGGAACCCCGGGACAATGATGATGCACCTCGGGAAACCATTTCTCTTTGACATTCTCAAATGATGCAGGTGAAGTTACCGAAAAGCAAACGAGAAAGACATCAGTTTGAGGATAAGAAAGTGGACGAAGACGATCGTAATCTTCTTGGCCTGTTATCATTCATTCAACCAACCAATTGTTAGACATTTTATTAATGTGAAAAAAATAAAAAAATTAATCCAACATACCAGCAGTGTCAAACAATCCTAATGTATATGGTTCATCACCAATCATAACTGTAACTGCGTAATTGTCAAACACCTAAAAAAAAACAACACATATCGTAATTCAATTCATAGTACTGTAAGAATTCTTTGTCTGAATATCGGCACTACAAAATTATCTTCCTATATCATTTAATATCTATACACACCCAATCTACAAGAATTCAGTAAAAATAATGATACTAACCGTTGGGACATATTCCGAAGGAAATTTATTTGTCGTGTAAGAAATTAAAAGACACGTCTGCAAGAATGACCATGCAATTTAAAAAAATCGTTAAATTTGATAGAACAAATGGTTTCTTTTCGGGACAAAAAATATTTGCTTGTCAACGAATGAAAAGCAGCTCATTTTTAATTTAATCAAAGTCTACGCCATATAGACTTTTAAAATCAAAAAAAAATCGAGAGTTAAAGTTCTCTTAATCTGCTCGAAAAATCATAAAGACAGAGTTTTGATTTACCTTTCCAACGGCACCATCACCAACCACAACACACTTTATTGTTTGCATGATTATTGTATTGATTAAATTTACGATAGGGATATTTTTATGGGGTTAGGAAAGATATTATTACAAACTAATAGTTTAGGACGATGGTATGGAAAGAATTAAGTCAACTTGAAAAAGAAAGTTTAGGAAAAAAGTGTATGGGAGTTAAAGAGTAAAAAAAAGCATAGAAAGAGTAATAGTTATTACGACAGGAAGTTTTTTAGGATAAGAGAGGGAGTTAGAAAGGGGTTTTTTGCTTTTCTTTGAAATGTTTGCCACCACAAGTTCATCATGCGGTCACCTGCATGTTAAGTGAATGTAATACATAATTAACACCTATTAAGGATACTTTTGATACAATTAAACAAGGGTTCTTTACTATATGATCCCTGTTTAAATTCCAAGAGAATAAGACCTCTTCTAATATTAGGTATCGGTGCTTAGAAATCGCCCGAATGGGAAATCAAACAAACAAAAAACATGATAAAATCCCAAGAACATGCCGGTGGCCAATTGTGTTGCATATAGATATGTATATGCATGTATATGATTTTTTAGGTGCTTGTAAAAATCTCGATGTTGGAAATTTAACACACGTTACACACCCACGTGCAAAACCCAATATGACAAGACATGTCTTACCAAATCGTCATCAAAAGCGTGATCCAATTGTGTGAGTTACATTTGGCCTATTTCATTTTTTTTTCCCATGACTTAAATTCCACTCGAGCTACAAAGAAACGACATATTCGTACCAGTGTTATCACGTATCGAGAGAAAATCTAGTATCAGTATAAGGAAGTTTTATTATGAGTCCAGAACTTCCTACAGCCTGTCTAAAACATGTTCTGCTTCACCTTGAAGCTGAAGACGTCGCGCGCTGTGCACAAGTATCAAAAAAATGGCGAGACGCTTGTTACGTCGAGTCATTATGGAAAAAACTCTGTGACGAAAGGTATGGAGTGGTTAGTTATGCGCGTAGAATTATTTTCTTGCAATGGGGGATGCAATGGAGACGCAATGTATTTCGTTGCCGTGATACTTTCATCAATGTAGATCGTTTTTTCCTCTTGTTAACGTACAGTGACTGATATATTTGTGATATTGTAATTATGCTGTATGAACGAATTCTTTGGAATGCACGACGAATTAACGACAATTAACTCAGATGGAAATATTGGAAATGGAAACCGAATAAAGCCGCGGGGTGGCGACAAATTTATCTTGCACGCATGTCCACAGATCAATGGGCCTTTGGAGTTCTTGATTCACTCACACTTGGTGGTGCGCATTACTTAGCACATATGAAAAAGTTACGGCAATTGGGTGATAATTGTCGTGATGTGTTATTGTGGATATTGAATCATCCTAATACGGTATGTTGCTTTCTCTCTTTCGCCTAATACCAATAATTCATGTATTAAATTATTATGAAATTATTTCTTATAGGCCACACTCACACATAGTTATTTTGCAAAAAGAGCGTTGCAGCACGTGCGTCGGTTTTCCGTAATTGAAAAGTGGAAAGCATGGCTAAATGGCACACTCACTTTCTCGAATCTACATGGATTTGCCATGATGGTAACGTTTTTTAATGAACGATTAGATATTGAAGATATCATACAGGAAGTTGATGAATTGGCCGCAGATTTCCTTGCGATAAGTCCGGAAACAACGCACGAAACACAAATGTCAAGATTCCATCGTCTGACGGATTTTTTTACACGCACATACCCATCCGACGCTTCAGTATTGGATATCGAAACAAAATTAATGTATATAACTAGCCCGTTACAAGAGACAAAACAAGGTAAAGCTTGTGTTCTTGCAATAGTTTTTGAGGCGTTGGCGCAGCGAGTTGGGTTGGAGAATGTCGAGGTGGTGGCAGATCGTGAAAGAAAGTCGTTTCGACGGTATCACTACATAAGATATACTGACGTGGAATCTGAAAACGGTGATTATTATTATATCGATTTTAAGAAACATTCCGAGACGGGAATTCTAACGGCAGAAGAATTTGATCGACACGCATCAAAATATTACGGAGAATTCTGGCCAGAATATAAACCAATCCCACAGAAAACCCTATTCAAATTATTTCTACATGATTATTTTCAAAGTCTGACGAACATTCGTGGTTATAGTGACGAGATTATTTATGGGACGGCTGTTCAACGTCAATTCATTTCGCATCCAGTCGTCAACGATGGTGATCTGACGGAATTGTGTAAGATAATGAAAGTCTGGTGGTCATTTGTCGCGACGAGATTCAAGTATCCCGAAGATTATGAGCTTGGCAAAGTGGCGTTAAGTGAAATTGAACAATTTGTAGGGGAGGGAAGTTGGAAAGAACAGGAAATGTGGCAAAATCTGGCTGGTAATGTACAAGCGGATATTGAGGCTATGGAGACGAATGATGTTACAGAGTGGGATTACTCGGGGGCGTTGACTCGTAATGGCGGAGAAAGTGATCCGAAGTTCTTTATTGGCGATATTGTTTGTTTTCACAAGTTTGATGCGTTGGGTGTTATTTGTCGTTGGGATCGAGGTTGGCTTCTTTTTCCTTTCTTTTGTCATAATTCAAGTTGATGAGTATATGCAAGTATTAATTGTCAGGTCTGGACTGGAATAATTTCGTATTGCAGCTTACGATGCTAATATGGCAGAAAATGTGACAAAATTTCATTGGAGGGTAAATATGTTTTCCTTTCATTCTTAATTCTGTTATTATTATTTTTTCTACCATGGTTGCACAATTATTGTATAATCTTGATAGGACCTTGATTCACCCAAGAATGAACCATTCTATGAGGTATTAACACTACGGGGAGTATTTCTATATTGCGGTGAAAAAAGTCTAGTAAACGAGCCTCCGATCTCTGATCGATTAAAAAAAATGGTACCTATAAATCTCTACGGAGACTATATGGGTGATGAGGATGATTGGGAACTAGCGAAATCACTGGGTCCGATAACTACCGAATCGATTGGCTGTTATTTTGAGCAATGGGATAGCGAGAATAGACGATATATAATGAATGAGGCTACGAGAAAGTGGTTTCCCGATGGATAGTAGCAGGAAAGGTGATTTCTTTTATTTTATCATTGGTGATTTGGGATGAAAGCGTACTAAATTTTTTTGCAATCCTTACCCTTTCTTGCTTTAGTAAGAAGATATGCATGGTTTGTTGTCCTACAACATTTGTAAAATAGTTTTAATTATTGGGAAGGCGTCACGCGAATTTTTTGTTGTTATCTAAAACACCATGAACACGAACTCTCACCCACAGATGGATTCTCGATCCTGTTATTTGATTAAAAACGATCAAGTACTTGTACATTAAGAGATAAGAGTTAAAAAAAAAAAACACGCATACACCAACAATCACAAAAAGGACGATATATCAAAGTTTCGAACCTCTCTTCATCTATAGATGTATATTTATTCCTTTCTATTGCCCTCTCATTTTCGACCAATGCCAATCGACTCCACTGTTGTTACCCACCATTCATTCAATCTTATTCCACAAAAAAATATTTCTTTTATTATTATTTGATTATCATTTTCATCATCATTTTATTCTTTTCTCTTCATTATCATTATCAGTTCGACAAAAAAAATTCTTGTACAGTTTTGATTTATTTGGGAATTTTATTTATTTTTTATTTATTTTCACGACAATCCACCACTTGACCACGTCCACATACGTGATGGATCGTCTATAAGTATGTATTTTTCCATTTATATACTTATTTATGAACGGATGGGGTGGCGTGCGATGCGGTGGGCTACACATTAAATCTATATATTCTTCATTAAGCATTTGTGCTGTTGCATCCCAAAGTGTCAGCATTAGTGAAATAAGCACACAATATTCTCACTTTGATACCATATGCTAAACATAAATAAAACCAATAAAAAAATGAATTTTATTTTTCCATCGTTTTCTTTCATCAATAACATGAACATCATACCATATATAATGATCAAATATCGATTAATGGGTAAATCTAAACAAAAATGGATCGTGGGACCGACCCAAGACGTTCAGACTACAGGACCTACCGCTCGAATTCTTACACCTCAGATCGCGATAGTACATACTCTGCTAACTCGTCTCATTATTCCTCTTCCACAAGAAATTATGTTAGTGGTAGTGGAGTTGGCGGCGGCGGCTCAACAAGTAATAGTAATGACTACCATTCGCGGGATCCGCCGTTACCACCACCTCCTGTTTCTCGGTATGCTGAACGCGAAGATCCACCCTATACCGCGTTTAGAGGACAAGTCCCTTCGTATTTGATGTCGTCTTCATCATCTTCGAGAGATACAAGACCTCCTTTACCACCTAATCCTCCACCACCACCATATGATCGAAGACCTTCTCATCGTGGAGCAACACAACCATATTACCATCCTTATCCGAATTCAAGAAACAATGGTGGTAGTAGTAGTAGCAGTAGTAGTAGTAGTATGACTCATGGTCAGAGAGAATTTAATAATAGCAGTACGAGTGGCAGTAATAGTAGTTATTATCATAGTAGCAGTGCTACGAGTACAACAGCAGCATATACACATAGTCGTAATAATTCCTCTTCTAGCGTATATCAACATCAACAGCAACAACACCATCAACCACCACCACCGCAACAACAGCATCAGCAGCAACAGCCACCAACATCATATCACCACCAAAGCCAAAGTTCACATTATCAGTCACGTCCACAACAACCTTATCATAATGTTCCTTATTCAGCCTCGATGCAGCATGGTGGAAATGGACATCATCAACACCGTCCTCACAATAATTATTATACGCCAGTGCGACCGGTGCCGCTTCCACCAATTGCACCAGAACAAGAGGAAAAGGTGCATTCTTCATTTATTGTTACAAACGACAATGAAATCAATTATCAAACGATAGTTAAATTAATTAACAATCTATCAATAATGATAATAGCTTGCTCGATATCGTCAAGAGTCTGCGAGATTGAATGAAGCTGCTGAAAAGCTTAACGAAAGTGTCAAAAAAGCAAAATGGGAAGTAACGAAAGCACAGTGGATGGTCGACAAGGAGATTCACAAGACCCAGACTACGATTCAACAAATTGAACGACTTGGTCCAATTGAAGTTCCTGAACAGCCGGTGATTGACGGTCTTCCATTGCTTCTATAATAATATTCTTATATTATCATGTTAATACTAATCCTATAATATCGATATCTTTCCTTAAATATTAAAAAAAGCAGAAAGTAGAAGATAAATAATTGCTGTATTGAATTTGGAATTATTCACATGACAAAAGAATCTATTTATTCTGTGGAATATCTACTACACTTCATCTATTTTCTCTAAATGAACGAATTTATGAATATCTCCGATTATCATTCTAATTGTCTACTATTTTTGAGCTCTGTCGATTTTCTATTGATAAATACGTGTTCCATCCGAGGGCCACCACATTGACGACCATTAACCGGTGTTGTAATGGCACAAAACGAAAATTTATTAATTGCACGGCTGGCCAGATTCTATAGTTGTTTATAAGCGCATTTGGATACGCCTTGAAGATGTTACACCGAGTTAATATTATTGAATGATAGAAGAAACCAAAAGAGGTAGATTGTCATAACAAAAATACCGTTTTTAACTTTTGCATGATCGCCTGACGAGATTTCCCTTCCATTACACCTTGTGCGCCAAAAAACACGGCTATGAAGCAAGGCGCGAAAAATGCTTGATCTATTGCAACTCGAGCAAGGAGTGCTTTTGGTTTCGGAAGACACACAATAAGTGAGATGGTTATTTATTTAGAAACTCAAAATATCTAATAGATTACCTTTATTTGGATTCTTTATTGTTACAAATTTATCGAGGAATCTATACCAATTTGCAATAGCTGGACCCTTTTAATCATTTTAATTTAATCTCCTATTAGTCAGGATCTTAAATTGACTGAACACGGATCCATAAAGTTAAATAAATACCGCGATTATAGTTCCAAATGCCACCATCCTTACAGTTCTTTTGAAATCATACTTATCATTGTCTTTTTCTACAATATTTTGTGCTATTAAATCACCAGCTCCGAATAAGAGACCTTTTTATGGCAGATATAAATAAAACTTCTAATCATTTATTATTATGTCTGATCTTTTACGCAATGAAATTCGATATAACGGAATCATCCGTTCAATTAGTGACAAATCTGTTATATCGAATTCAATTAAGAAATCCGTTATATCGAGAATGATTTATTTTAACCTTCAATCCGCTATGTTGAGTTTTTATTAGTCTCCGTTATGTCGAATATCCGTTATATCGAGTTTCACTGTGTACATGTAATTATAAACTATATGTAATGTGACAACGCATCTAAGAATACCTGTCCCACAAGCTTGTATCAATGTAGGTTGACGAGCGAGCGCACTATTATATAATCGTAAGAAATTTTTTAGCATTTTACCACAAAATTATATGTCGTGATACAGTCATTATATGATTTTGCCTATAGTTATAAAATCAGGTGAAAATACATTATGACTAATCGATATTTCATTTACCATTTATAAGTTTAACAATAGTCATATTCATATTTCTCTAGTTATTCAATTTCACTTT